ATTTGTGAGGAAACAATATTCTGGCAATAAGTGAATCGTGCAATTCACTCAGTTCTGCGAGTCAATCTCTGAAATCATCCATCTACCTAGCAAGCTCAGCTGTGAGGGTGCAACTGCATAAAACGATATATTGCTAGACTTGACACTGCATTCTGTATGTCAAGAAACATTTACCATCAAATATATTGTTCACTTGTCCGAAATGCGTCAAAAAGTACATAAAGTATGGCTTCACAATATTAGATAACCGCTTCCTTTCTTCTATATGTCTATAAAGTGACCCATTCAACGTACTGCAAGCAACCTTTCCATAGCATATTAGCACGCGTAGTGCACAGAGACATCCACAATCATTCTGAAATTTAATGCGGTATGTATTTATTTTATGAAACCAAAAATATGGTCCTCCATTATGGTTCTATAGAAGGTTATGAGCTACTCAGTTTTAACTTATATATAACGCAAATCCCTTACTGTTACAAACCTCAAAAACATCCTTATTTTTAGAACTGTTTATCTAGGTTTCATTACATTGATTTTGACAATCAACGCCTCAGCAACCATTGAGAATGAGTCATAAAAATAAATTAATGTAAACAAAAACAAACCAACCAGCATAACCAACAATAAACTCCCCATAAAGAAAAGGACAAATATGAATGATGTTGCTGCTGATTTGTTTCAGTCAATAAATGAAATCCAGGGTACCCTATCGAGAAAACAACATGTATATAAGGTTACGTCGAACCGCCTCCTGAACCTAGCCATGATGGTCAGTAATGCCAAAGATCCTTCTCTTCAAAAATTAGTAGCTGAGATTTGTACCAGTGCTACCAAAGCTCTGCTGAATGCTTCCTGCAGACATTTCAGACTTTCTTCCAAAGGAATTCATAAGAATGATTTCTGGTCTGATCATCATAAACTCGACGAACAGCTTTGGTTAATAACAGCCCGTGTAGAAAAAGAGAAAGCAAAAAACCAAAGCATAATTTATACATTAAAAAGACTATATGTCCATTAAATGCAAATATTGCAATTTAAATGAAAAAATTCAAAATTAAGTGAATATTACACGTTCACAACATAACATGAAATTACAAAATAATGCAAATACAAATTCAACATCCCGTGCATTACAAGCGATTAGAAAATTTCCTACCTTCATTTCAGTGACTACAGCTTCAATTCTGTTTAACTCATTTGTGCAGTCTGTCGCCATTTTACTTCCCTGATCACACAGCATTTTGCCTTGTTCCTCAGAGGCAGTCTAAGAAAAGCAACAGGATGTTAGGTAAAATAAATTGTAAGAAAGACAAATTCGTCGTATAAATATTCATTAATATATAAACAAAATATATTCTATAATCTTTTAAAGATCAGAACTGAATCGTTTATGCCCAAATTAAAAATGCACCTCAAAAATCCATTACACGATGAGTGCATACTGATGGAATTCCTAAATAAATCAATGTTCATGTGTTAAAATGCATAGAGGAAATCAGTTGGCACGGCAATACGT